TCTCTACCAGCCTACCCTCAAATTGAAATTATTTTAGGGAAGATTAGAGTAAATTAATCTATGATGCATTGACCGAAGTCAAATATATCAATCAAAAGGGATTAAGCTCCTGAGTTCAAAACTGTAATTACATCTCAAATCGGTCAAGAAATGACGGAGCTATGAGCTAAAAGTTTATACTTGAAAAACATTTAAAAAAACAATTCAGAGCCGTACTATGAGCCGCTATGCCGCGGCTAAAAATAAAATACATTGTAACGACCTACTTCAAATAAAACAATATTTTATTCTCCGGCGTTTGGAGCATAAGCATTTATCAAGTGTCCCTTTGATAAAAGTGTATAATCAATGCAATTTTTTGAAAACTTGTTTCATAAAAACTTACCACTCGTTAGATTTAAGATGAATTAAGTTTTTCAAGATAATCAAAATATCGTGAAATATGAACATGAATAAGAAGTTATAGATTGTGTCTAAATCAATAAATTGAAACAAATGATTAAAGACTATGTGGAATACTATACGAGAAGAGACTCGTTTAACTACAGAAGAATTTCACTTTCTGTGCAATTCTTTGAATTATAACGAAAGTATGTAAACTAAAAAATTAGAAGTTATTGAAAGTCGTATCCAAAGGAAAGGTAATTGCTTTGTCTCGGGGGATTCTACTTAATGAATTTCGTTGCTGTTGTTGTACGTTCTGTAAAAAGAAACGTCTGATTCAATTTGCCATATTTCAGGTTAAACAGTTATTATACATAGAATGCCTGTGTTTCAGTAGGATAAATTTAAATATTTACCAGAACTACAACTTATTTGATTTAATTGGGTATGTTTTAAGTTCAAGAAGTACTAGAACAAGAACTTGATTGTTTCATGTGGGGATTAATATGGAATTAAATATCTACTATAATATATAATATTACATTTTGTAGTCTTTTCTGAAAACTGGTTTGTTGTTCACTACTTGTTTGAGGAGTTGCTAAGAAGTTTTCAACCCAGAACATTTGGGACAAAGATTATGTTCACGGTTTGATTTTTCTCAGAATTTCCTGGTGGAAGAACTCGACTTGATAACTTATATTGTTGAACAAAATCAGTGAAGTTTCGCTAGTGCTTTCACTCAAAGTTATTAGTTATTTATTACTGGGGTGACAGAAGAGACGAAAGTGATATATTTGTAATGATCGTTATTATAAGAAAAATACCTTTTTAAAAATACAAAATAACGTATTTTTAGTGCGGAATTTAATATAAACAGTTACCATTTTATGTTGTTTTTTTATATTCTATTTAGCTGTAACACTGTGTTACCTACACTTCCACTTAGCTTTAACACTATGTTATCCGCACTTCCACTTAACTTTAACACTGTGTTACCCACACTTTCACTTAACTTTAACACTGTGTTACTCACACTTCCACTTAGCTTTAACACTGTCTTACCCACACTTCCACTTAACTTTAACACTGTCTTACCCACACTGTCACTTAACTTTAACACTGTGTTACCCACACTTACACTTAGCTTTAACACTGTGCTACCACACTTACACTTAACTTTAATACTGTTTACCCACACTGTCACTTAGCTGTAACACTGTGTTACCCACACTTTCACTTAGCTTTAAGACTGTATTACCCACATTTCGAATTAGTTTTAACACTGTATTACCCACATTTCGAATTAGTTTTGACACTGTTTTATCACTTGTACGATAAAACATCAAATCATACATAGTCCTTCAGTTGTAGAATATAACATCATGTCATAAATAGTTCTACCAGTTGTAGAATATAACCATATCATACAGAGTCCTTCAGTCGTATAATATAACATCATGTCATAAAGAGTTCTATCAGTTGTAGAATATAACCATATCATACAGAGTCCTTCAGTTGTAGAATATCACATCATGTCATAAATAGTTCTACCAGTTGTAGAATATAACCATATCATACAGAGTCCTTCAGTTGTATAATATAACATCATGTCATACAGAGTCCTTCAGTTGTATAATATAACATCATATCATACAGAGTCCTTCCAGTTGTAGAATATCACATCACATGTTCTAGTGTTTTAATATTATATTATCATATTAAAGACTGAATAATATTAAAAAGTGGGTAATTTTGGAAAATTGGTGAAATTCTGTGAACGAACATCTTAAGTTGTCATAACCTCTCAGCATAATCTTAATATAATAGAGCTTGCGATGTATACGTTCAAAACTCGGATCTCGGAAACTACCACACCAATCATAACTGGGTAATAGTTTTATAACTAGACAGTGGTTTTATAGCTGAGCAATAAATAAAACAATTGACATTTCCACAAAAATGACATGTTTCAGATTTAACCAATAATAATTACAAATAAGGAGTAAGTTTCAAATATAAAACAATCAAAAAACAAACTTAAAAAATTATTTGTTTTTCTTTTGTGCAAATCTCACGAGTGTTGCAACAGAAAAGCAAAGCACTTTTATTGATAACTGCGTCTACAAAAAATACTTTAATAAAATTTACTATGTGATGTAATGCTGTGATGATAGCTCATTTTTAAACTCAAATTTCAATAAAATTCTTTTTCTCATGGATGATGAACATTATTGAATGTCAAGTATGACTACATTGTTTTAGAACTGTCAGACAATTCCAGAAAAGGCCGTAGGCCCAATAGCCTTCCGCAGGGCGGGTATTTCTGCTAGTATTGGTTAATATTTACATATTATAAAGTATCGTTAAAACTATATTGTTCACTTTAGAATCGTCTTTTTTACTACTTGTATCTTCTTTGGAAGTAAATTCCAACATGCCTTGTTTTCTTATTACTGCCCTGCATGGCCAGGTGGTTAGGGCACTCGACTTGCAAATCCCCGTCCCACCCAACATGCTCGCCCTTTCAGCCGTGGGGGCGTTATAATGTGACGGTCAATTCCACTATTCATTGGTAAAAGAGTAGCCAAAGAGTTGGCGGTGGGTGGTGATGACTAGCTGCCTTCCCTCTAGTCTTACATTGCTAAATTAGGGACGGCTAGCGCAGATAGCTCTCGTGTAACTTTGCGCAAAATTCAAAACAAGTTTCCTATTACTAGCATTTTCACACATAAAAATAAAACAAAAAATTCTGCAAAAAATAAAGAAGCTAGAGAAATTCAGAAAATCTAAAATGGGCCTTTTCTTGATTTATAAATTACAAAAAGAAAACAAAATAAAAAACAAGATACAAATGTTCATCCTAAAAAGGAAATTGGAAGTTTTGTTTCTAAAAGATGAGTACGTGGCCTAACTCCAGTAAATGAATCTACCGTGACCAAAAATAAACAACGATAATACTAAAAATATGTGCAAACTTGCCCAATTGAACGTTGAGTAGGTAAAAACATTTAATATTTTCTTTGATAGTGGTTAAATGCGCAATCGAAAGGATAAATTGTTCTGTTTTGTTGTTCGTGTGTATTCCTGTTGAACAAACGAAACGTGTAGGATATGAAAAAAGACGACATTTTGTATAGGTGCTGTAGATTTGTCGTAACATTTTCATTAATTAATATAAAGAAGGGATTTTGTGTAGATTATCCAGATTTGTCGTAACATTTTCATTAATTAATATAAAGAAGGGATTTTGTGTAGATTATCCAGATTTCTCTTAACATTTTCATTAATTAATATAAAGAAGGGATTTTGTGTAGATTATCCAAATTTGTCTTAACATTTTCATTGGTATAAAAAACGGATTTTTAGGTATCCTTTAGATTTACCGTAACATTTTAATTAATATAAAAAAGAAATGGTTAATAGATACTGTAGATTTACCAAAACATTTTCTTTAACACAGAGCGTTGGAATTATAGGAAAAGGTCAGCTGTTAAGAACCATTTAAAACAACAGAAAACGACTTACTTCAAGCTTGGAATAAGTAGCCAAGAATACAAAATAAAATTAAGTCCTTAATATATTTGATTTATTCGAAATTGGTTTAAATTTATAGTCGATAGAGGAAAAATAAGAAGAGAAGGCCCATCTAAACTCTAACTGTGTGTCGTTTGATTCAACTCTATTGATAGACTGAAGGAGAGTCGGATAGATAGATAACTTGACAAGACACAGATGTATAGACTGATGGATCTTAGCGTTGCGAGTCTATAAGCTTACAGCTGTCCCATTAGCGATTTGATTCGTCAACAGTGGGCATCTAAATTTACCGAATGTAATGGTAAAAGGCAAGAATTAGTCTAGCAATTGTCATGATATGTTTGTACAGATATGCATGTGTGTATTAATGATTTGCGATCGTGTGATTGAAGTATTTTTAAAGTGGACGGACCGAAAAGTCTAACAAAATTAACGTTCAAATTAAATGCACGTTTTCCAGCATCAATCGAGATGTGTTTGATAACTTTAAATCTTTTAACAAAGAGTTTCAATCCGTGCTCAAGAATTAACGTATCAAGTTTTTTAATGTACTCCAATAAACGCAATAACAAAATTGAAAATACCTCAAAAAATCAACAGAAATAACTGCCGTATTGTCATCCTGAACGGAGAATAACGTAAGACGAAAATGCCTTTTACACAATCAACAGAGCGTACTTACTGGTGAGACGTTTGATGGCTCGTGGTTGGGCCTGCTTTCGACGAGCCATTGTAGATGACATTTAACGGCACCGTCTCCGTACTGCAGCTCCGGAGAAGACCCAAAAGACAAGGTGTAAATTAGACAAACTAAAGGACATGAGGAAACACCAAGAAGACGATGAACACTCGCTTAATCACGTCAGACTAGGGTGACGTATGCCTGTTACGTCACAAGTTACCTGGAACGCGTAGAAACAGCATGAAGCTAGCTCTCGCTTGTGGAACGGGTGATCACGAGATACAGGTCTGGAGTGCGGAAACGAGGCGCTAAATACATTATAGTACTTTAGAAACTGTAAACATTGGTGTGACATTGTCACTGAAGATATGGTGTTTCCCGGCTATACGTCATTAATTCCCCCAATTGTATTTTTAATCTCTTTAAATACAGTTTCGGCTCTCAAATATATAAAAGGAGCCAGAAGATACCACGATATCTGCACATGATGATATCCAATGTAACTGTGGGGGTCTTTGAGCGATTCGAGATTCTACGAGTCCTATTGTGGTTTATGCTTAAGAGTCTAGAGTTCCAAAACATGATCTACTTCTCATTGTTCCATATTACGTGAATGGTGTTCCAGCAATTCAACATTTCAAAATCCTTACAGCTATGTCCTGATGTCCAAAGGTTCTCTAACATATACAGTAGCTATATGGCACAAACTGCTTAGCTCCACAGACATTTAGAACGCAGAAAGGCACTGACAGCTATGTCCTGATGTCCAAAGGTTCTCTAACATATACAGTAGCTATATGGCACAAACTGCTTAGCTCCACAGACATTTAGAACCCAGAAAGGCACTGACAGCTATGTCCTCATTTCTAAAGGTTCTCTAACATATGCAGTAGTTATACGGCACAAACTGCTTAGCTCCACAGACATTTAGAATGCAGAAAGGCACTGACAGCTATGTCCTCATTTCTAAATGTTCTCTAACATATGCAGTAGTTATATGGCACAAACTGCTTAGCTCCACAGACATTTAGAACGCAGAAAGGCACTGACAGCTATGTCCTCATTTCTAAAGGTTCTCTAACATATGCAGTAGTTATATGGCACAAACTGCTTAGCTCCACAGACTGTCTGTGTGTTAACGTGACTGTCTGTATAATACAGTTTAGCGACGCTATATGTGCAGAAAAGTTGGACTGTAGCTGAGTGCAGAAAACCTGGTGTTTTCGTTGCTCATACATTTAACATATCTTATTAGAATAGAATATTCTGACGTGTCTTTCATATTTCAGTTAAACATAATAAACAGAAGATAAAAAAATTCTGCTCAGGTTTTTATTGTGTGCGCGTGTGTTAACACTGAAATCGATTTATGTTAGTGTTTGATCCATTACACGAAGAATGAGTTTTCAATGAGCCTAAACTATTTTTACTTCTTCTTTATCTCAATAATTAAGTGTTTGGTTTTAAAATTATTAGTTTCATTTTAAGAAATGCCTTATTTACTATATTTTAAAATTGTACACATTTTCGATTATTTAATTCTTTATTTAATATTTACAACAAAGTTTTACCTTCTCATGTTCAGCAACAAAAGAAACGGCCGCTGTTATTAAGTGGTGGTTATTTTATCGAATTATGATACGGTTTCTGCGTCATTAGCTTTGTTAATCTTCTGCTTAGCCCACTAGTTTGTACTTCCTTTAACGTTTCTTTCTCAATATTGACCTTTTTACTTCATTTATTTGGTTTTTACTCTGTTAAGTAGCCACCGTTTCACAGACTTCTTCCATCACATCTTTTCTTCTGTCACAAAGTACAATGTACCAGTAGTTTCCAACACATCCTTCCTTGTGCAGCAACGTACGTCTCGTGCTCTTCTTCCTCATATCTTTCTGTATACAACAACTTACATCTCATGCTCTTCTTCATATCTTTCTGTATATAGCAACTTACATCTCATGCTCTTCTTCTTCACATCTTTCTGTATACAACAACTTACATCTCATGCTCTTCTTCCTCATATCTTTCTGTATACAACAACTTACATTTCATGCTCTTCTTCATATCTTTCTGTATATAGCAACTTACATCTCATGCTCTTCTTCTTCACATCTTTCTGTATACAATAACTTACGTTTCGTGCTCTACTTCTTCACCTCTTTCTGTATACAACAACTTACGTTTCGTGTTCTTCTTCCTCATATCTTTCTGTACAACACTTTAATAAATAACTGACTTTAATGGTATGCCCCTTCCTGTATGTAGAGTGAGACAAGACAACGTTCCGATTTTAATGGACTGTTCCTGCCTGTCTCTAGAGTGAAACAACATTCCAGCTCTAACGGATTGCTATTTCCTGTCTCTAGAGAAGGACAATGTTCTGGCTTTAATGGTCTGCTCCTGCCTATTTATAGAGTGCGACCTTCTCTTCAGTCAAAAATTTACTATATCCACACTGCCTAAAATACCCCTGAAACAATATACAACAATACGTACCTGGTGCCTTTCTTCATTCACAGTTTTCCTTACTGAACAACGTAAGCCTCATGTATATATTCGATTGCATCTTTCCTTACCCAACATCGTAAATATATACAGTAATAGAAATAATTATGGAACACATGGTGAATTTATTAGTAGTACAAAATATCACCACAGAAAATACAAGATAAAAGTTAATAAGTTTTACAATGCACTAGTATTTTGTGTGTGAGCCTTAGGTTTTACGCGGAATATTTATTAAGCCTTGTTTTCATTCTGCCGTGCAGTTTATCAAAGTACAGTTGTGAAATATTGTTTCAAATATCTTGTATTACTCCCTACAATTCATCCTTTTTTTTATTACGTTCTTATCTTTAAGTTTTACATAATCCCATAAAGCCCAAAAATGATCATATCACGACTTTATGCAGGTCAAACTATGGTTATGGTTGTTCATTATAATTTACCTCTTTATTATCAAGATCTCGTGTCACCATCTTTGCTATGTGATTGGAACCATTGTCTTGTTAAAAAATGAATCCCCATCTCCTGAGGGAATTGATGTCATAATAGATTAAAATTTGCCTTTACTTGTCAGCTGTCACGGTGCCATCATTTTCTTTTTTGTAGATTACTGACCTTGTTGGTTGAGTAACACTTCAAATTTGTCATGATCGTTAACCATGTCTCGCTGTTTATCCTGTACATTGACTATGATACTGTTCACCTATCTACCGTCAAGCAAACTATCGTTCATTGCTGTTGAACAATTCGAACTTGAATTCATCTGTACAGAGCATTCTCTTCCACATTTTTCATCTCATTGTGTGAAGCTCGATGCCTATTTCAACATTTTGGTTTAATTACTTTTCTCAGTAGCAGTTTTCGTGTGTCTTACTGCTTCAGAGTAACACTCACACCGATTTCGGCGATATTCCATAACACGATTCACCACTTATCATTGAATCATACCGACTGGAGAAATTCAGTAACCCGAAAGTGATATTATTCAGTGATAAGTGGTGAACCGAATGACACACAGGGATATTTTTTCAAGTATCTAAAAGAGGTTATCTACTGAATAATTCAGAAGAATAAATAAAAAACACCAATGCCGTATATTCTCCAAGTCGTACATAAATATAGATTCACTGTGGTAAGTAAAACACAAAACATTATGCAAACCCCCTTTATAGTCAGGTTAGAAGTACTACCACCTTTTTATACTCAGGTTAGAAGTATAACCACCTTTTTATACTCAGGTTAGAAGTAATACCACTCTTTTTATAGTTAAGTTAGAAGTACTACCAGCTTTTTATATTTAAGTTAGAAGTGCTACCAGCTTTTTATAGTTAGGTTAGAAGTACTACCACCTTTTTATAGTTAAGTTAGAAGTACTACCACCTTTTTATAGTTAAGTTAGAAGTACTACCACCTTTTTATAGTTAGGTTAGAAGTACTACCACCTTTTTATAGTTAAGTTAGAAGTACTACCATCTTTTTATAGTTAAGTTAGAAGTGCTACCACCTTTTTATAGTTAAGTTAGAAGTACTACCACTTTTTTATAGTTAGGTTAGAAGTACTACAACTTTTTTATAGTTAATTTAGAAGTAATGCCACCCTTTTATAGTTAATTTAGAAGTACTACAACTTTTTTTATAGTTAATTTAGAAGTACTACAACTTTTTTATAGTTAGTTTAGAAGTACTACCACCTTTTTATATTTAGGTTAGAAGTACTACCATCTTTATATGTTTAGGTTAGAATAACTACCATTTTTTTTATGTTTAGATTAGAAGTACCACCATCTTTTTATAATTAGGTTAGAAGTGTTACTCTATTTTTTTCTTTTTTTTGTAGTAAGATCAAAAGTACTATACATTAGGGAAAGTTAATAGATAAATCAATGGTAATAATATGTTGCACTGTGTTTATCGGTTGAATATAATATTGTTGTTAAAAGTTTATAAGATTAATTAGAGGAAGAAGTTGCCTCCTCTCCTGAGAAGTACATAGTGTTACGACAGCGGAAGTCACGTGACTCTAGTAACACGTCATGAGATTCTAGAAGGATCATGTCTGTTCCTGGCAACTCCAGACTTCTCTACGCGCCTTCTATTTTTGTATATATAAGCCGGCAAATGAAGTGACGGCATAGATAATTGCAGACAGGCAGAGATAGAGACGGACAATTGAGTCAAGCGCGGTAGTGACTGTAAGTAAAGTGCGTGAATCGTTGTGAATTATAGCGTGTGTTGAAGTTAAAGTGACTGTGAAAATTAAGTGTATTGCAAAGTTGTATTGAGAAAGAATAAACTAGTTTTATTTAAGAAAGGACTTGTATCGCTAAAGTTTTATCCGAAATAAATTATACTGGTAATTAACAAACGAACACATACGTAACAATAATAATACCTATCTAAAAAAAACATGGATCGACTTAGCAAGAAATGAGAAAATTTAAAAAAGTGCTCAAAGCGTACTGGAGAACTCTTGATAAAGAGAAGTTGGTTAAGAATTATACCCACCATACAAATATGTAGTTAAGGTGTCTTTTAAACTCTTCTTTTTTCTACTTACCTCTACAATATTGGCATGGCCCTGAAATAACAATATTTAAACATTGTTATCAACTCTAAGCTTCGTTAGTTATAATGTTTTTTGTTTGTTTTACCAA